CTCTTGGTATTTTCTAATTATCCATTACCGCATCATCGAGTTATCAAGTTCATACTCCTATACTTTAAAGCTATTCCCTATAACATTAACATAGTGTCGGAATTTGCACTTGTAGACTTCATATTCTGATTTTATTGATAAATTATAGTCTATATCATAACTCATTATTTTGGCGCCATGTTGCCTACCAAACGTTAAACTCAACGCGCGCCGTAAAATAAGCTAAGGCTCTTGAGAATTGCTAAATTTGTCCCGTTAAATGTTCAAATAATGAATGAACCGAATGTTTAATGTCTGAAAATCAGTGTGTATTAAAAAGCTAAAAACGAGAAATTATGACATGATTCAAAATCATGCCTTCATGACGCTCGTAAAAGGATCAACGATTGATTGGTAAATCATTTCTAAGTTAAAAAGAGGGACAATTGAAATTATTAGTCAATGAGGGAAAGTGGTTCTTGAAAATGATATTTTATTCTATATGGTTACTGAATCATGGACGCAATAAAGAACAGATAGCGAGGATGGATAAGAGTGGAGGAATCGTTTGAAGGTTATTAATAAATAATGAACAGTGTCTCCTATAGTTTGCAACTCACACGGTGTAATCTAGCGATACGGGTCACCTTGTGATGGTATGCGACTTCGATCATTGGGTAAAATTAATTTGAATAATGATTTAAAGGGTTGACCAGTGTTTCTTCAACTAAATATAACCCTCAACCACTATGGCCGATAGACTTACAGTAAATATGGGCACACCGACTCGATTAACGAACTCTTTTCGCGACCTTCCCGTCATGGATAAAGTCCATCTCTCGCGAAATTTGAGTTCTGAATTGATCCCAGATTCTCAACCGCTTGATGCGAAATTTCGTTTTAATTCGGTAAGTTTTATCATGTTTATATTTTCAAAAGAATTGTTTCAACAATTTGTATGCATTAGTTTAATATACTGTTGGCGTAAAACTCGTACTCATGTTAGCACTCTTGGAATATTGTTGGTTTATTCTTGGGTTAGAAGAACGTGTTGCTGAACATCATATCCTAAGCAGACATATCAGACATTGTTCTATAAATATTGGTGCGAAAGACTTACAAAATTGAGCCACATATTCCTGAAATAAGCTAAAGGTATTAACTGTTTTATAATAAATAACTTGACACTCCATAAGCTTTCAAGACGACTAATATGGTGATTTTTCAGTTGTTGTGGGACCGTAATCAACTGAGGTGATGTAATACTTTAATACTTTGTGTCGAGGAAATCCCCTTATTGTGTTTTTGCAGCTTCAAGTAGGTAATAGACTTTGTTAGTTCACAAGTACATACCATATGGCTAAGTTAAGTTTTAATATATTCGAAATCATAGTTTTGAGGTCAACGAACATATGAAATAATTATGATCTTTTATATAGAAAACTATTGCGGCTAAAAACTGGACTATCAGGTGATTGTGAATGTGTGGGCTAAACACGGACTATTCAGCTAATGATGCAAGTGTGTAATTTGATTTTACAAAGTTTACGTCAATAAGCACAACTAAACAAAGACGAAAGATACGTATATTAGGAAATGATGGAAACTACCGGAAAAACTGTGTGTGAACTGCGTCGGTGTTTTCTAAAACAGTTTGTAAAAATAAGATACATTATAAACTGTAAAAAAATAGGTGAAATAACTTTCAGACGTTAATCCTTTATCGGAGTAAGTGAAGGAAAAGCAGAAGGAAATATTTTCTCTGTGAGTTTCTGGTCAGATTTTATTATGAAGAAGTCAGCTGTACAGTTAATTTGCATTTACTGGGGTCAATTGGTCGCCCTAGGACAAGTCGAGTGACATTGGTAATAATGTCTAATTTAAGATGTAGAATCATATGCAGCTAGTTCAGAAAACTTTGAATACTGATGATAGTGCATTCCAAAAGTGCATTTTTGGTCGTTCGGTCGCCGTCCAAAAGGAGTTTTTCGTGGTTTCAAAGTGACTATACCAGAACTGTACAGACAAGAACTTCAATGGAAAGCCCATTAAGTTTAGAATTGTCACTGATTTTGTAACGCAGCTAAACTGTGGAGTTTAATAGCAACGGTGCATTTCGGTGTTACACTAACAGTTTTATCGTTGTCTGAAATAGCTGTACACTTGTATTGTTAATTAAAATAATAGAAAAAAATCACTTCTAACCTTTAACTGACTCGCATTTTGGGCATTAGTCCTAATACAGCAAAGACATGCGCATAGACGTCACAAGTTTACAGTTCCGCCTCTCAATTTCGACACCAGTTTATTGGACAAGAGTAAAATAGTAAACTTACTACCTACTGCGAATATATATAGTTCTGCATACCAAATCAAAGTTATCGTATCGATTATGCATAAATATAGTAGACATAATAGAAAGCGTCCACTTTTATGTATATAAGGTGTTTCAACTTAAAAGGGTTCTAAGGACTAAGGCCCCTTTGATGACGCAACGGTTTATATGCAGTCCAAAGGCAAGAGATTTTGAAATAAGACCCCTTTTGAGCTCCAACTTCTCATATGTATGTATTCCCCTCCATGCCTAACCCATATGACTTTACGCTTTATTTCTTAATTGCTATTTTACCAAACGTCGTAGCTTACAAATATAAAAACTCAAAAACCAACAAAGTATGAAGATGAAGTAATTTAAAAAAGTATAATCAAAATTTTTGTTTGATATATAGATAATTAGTCAGGTCTTTTTTCATAAACCCTTGAAACAAACTATGATTTTCTGAAGTGCACTTCACGGGTTTACGGCATACTCTAATCTATATTCAAAAGGGCAAAAATTGGCCACAAACAGAAGATGAACAAAAGACGCAGCTGGAAATACGTGTTGCGGTAACGGGAACAAAGAAATTGAACGACCATGGAGCAAATTTATATTAATTTTTGATTATTGTGTAAGATTTTATCCTTTGATTATTGCTATTTACGTTGGTTCAGCATGAAAACATTGCTCATGAACAAGTTGGGAAAATTTTGAATAACCAACGCAAATGCAGCGTTAAAGTTTAAAAACCTATGGATTCTCGGATTTCGAGAAACCTGTCCTTGGTTGATCCTTTATGATAGGATCATTAGAATTAGTAAAGAGATTTGAATGTTTGCAACTAAAAATATCTTTACGAAGTTCACCCCAGGGCTGAGAAGTCGAATCGACTTACGTGAGGAGGTTTCTCTTCTCATATTGGCTATCATGATCATTAATATATAATAAAAATTGAAGCTGAAACCGAGTTGGTACATAAAATGAAACAATGATAATGTAGAAATCTTTTTGCCGCCTCGACCTTAGCCTTATGACAAACTCTTATAATGTGGTGTAGATTCTGAATCCCAGTCGGTCGAACTCTGAATTCTAGTCAATTCTTTTTCTTCCCAATTCCGGATTCCAGACTTCTTCTGACTCCGGATTCCAATTTTTTTGGTGGGGATTCAGGATTTTAATGATATAAATTTCTAATTTGAATTCCGGATCATAGCATTAGGATTCACTAGGATTCAAAAGTTCACAGAATTCTTGAATTTATGTAGCAAGGATTCTTCAACATGGAATATTTGGCTGAGATTCGCGGCGGCCATTGGCGAATTAATGATATTTATCCACCAACATGGCTGCCAGGGCGTCAAAAGGAAAACAAGCGATAATTCAGTATATATTAAAACAATTGCTCATGCATCTTTCATACAGTGTTTCGTGTCATGCCGTGCCCGTTATTATTATCAAATCAGCGAGAAACGTCGAAAACATGAAGGGACAATAAAAAAGTATCAATTTTAAAAGATCTTTGTTGGTTGTATTTTTCATATTTATACGCAGTTTGTTTAATCAACCATGAATAATTTTAAACTTCTTTCCAAGCTTTCGACCTAAGCGGTCATCTTCAGGGAACACAAAGTCTTTGTGTTCCCTGAAGATGACCGCTTAGGTCGAAAGCTTGGAAAGAAGTTTAAAATTATTCATGGTTGATTAAACAAACTGCGTATAAATAAAAAAGTATTTATTAAAAAGAGAACGAATCAATTCCACGACCATATCTCATTTAGTATGCATCGAAGAAGGCCTTAAACGATTCCAATATCCTGTAAATTCTCTTTTACCTCCTAGCGAAAGTGATTTTACCAATCTAAAGTCAGTTTAATTCTGGTATTTGTTTGCAAATCAATTGAATGACATCATCGCTGTCCAATAAGCCAGTTGTGGATTTTAATTTAACTTTGATGTGACTAGCAAATGAATTGTTCGCAAAATAAATAGGTTGAGCCTGAAGTCATGATATTAGGACAATTTGAAGCATATTTCACGACGATCTGTCATTTCGCTGTACAATGACCACACATGACTAAAGTCAATCAAAATCAAAACTCACTATCCTTGTACAGTACTAAATATGATCCATCAAAAAATATCCAGGACTAATGAAAAAATACATAAATAATTAATAGTAAGTATTGGCAATAATTCATACAGTATTGAGCAAGTTAAAAACGAATAGCAACTATTATTGCTCTTTTTTTTTCTTGTTTGGAGTAGACAAACTGATCATCCGTTTTTTGTTGTTTTTTTTTCTCTCGAATTTTATTGACAGAGCTTTGAATTCTTCGGTGAGGAAAATATTCACCAAACGCAATATAAATCAACTATAATAAAAGAGCAATTCAGTTTGAAAAGTTTCCAAAGAAATCAAATGTAATATTTGTGTGGTTTTCCTTGTCCTTAGGATATTATAATAGATTCAAATGGAAATTTTCCTTGAATATATTCACACGTAGCTGTAACTGTGGCGATTTAAGTGATTTAAAAAAAACTCTTTTGAAAAATTTCAAGGATTGTACAATTAAAAAAGCCGGACCAACGTAAAGTGTTAGCCTTCCTAAAGAATGATAATTCTAACAATATGAATATCGATAAATTACACAAGACAGACGAGGCGGAGTGTACACCCACGAAATTATTATTGTGATCTTTTTGGATGTACACCTGATAAATACTTTTCAGTTTCAACTTCCCCGCTAAGTGCTGGGGAAAAACCCTTCATGTGGGAACTTTTCAACGTTTATTCATAATGGCATTCTCTTTTTCCTCGTAATAGCTTGATAAACATGCAGCTATATCTCGGTACCTTGGTTACAAATCATCGCAAATACTATGCATTTTCCACAAATTATTAGAGGCTTTCTTCGGAGTATTTTAGCCCATGTAATTGGCGAAGGAGTTGAATATACTTCAACACGAATTTATCGTTCACCAGTCTTTTCTGAGGTCAGTATAAATGGAACTAACTTTAATTTTATGTTCTCAATTAGCATACATCTCTTGGCGAAACTGAAGATGAACGATAGATTCAATAACAAAACGTAGAGAATGAATTTTGCTGTGAGATCAAATACATTTGACTGTGTGCTTGAAAGTTTAAAAAACATCTCTCTGAAAGTTAGCACCATGAACGATTGTGTATGATTCAAGTCTTATCCTGGTATTATTTCTAGCAATTTTAGATCGAAAATGAAGATAAACTCGTGACCTGTAGTAGTTTGCTTGGCATTTGGACTAGTTCAACTACTGTAAGTACACCACGTGCGTTGCTAAAACTAAATTCAAATCATCAAGAGAAATAAGTTTTCAAAACACTTTATCAGATAGAAAAATTTAATAAATATTTAGGAATACCAGAAAGATCTAACGCCATAAAAGCTAGCGACTTCTGGCGACTACTTTTAATTTGTATCCCAATAAATTGACGCAAATATTCAAATATGGTTTTCAAAGACATCGCGACGCGTTAAAGAAAAAAAAAAGAAAAAAAAATTAAAAGTCAAAAGTTCAATTTGATTGTAATGTATATGGGATTTTTGTATTGAGATCTTTATACCGCAAAACTGATAAACAATATTCGCTATTTTTCGATTCTTTTTTTTAATAGAGTAAGATATTTCTTACCAAAATCCACACATAATAGTGCATTAAAACCCGACCTATAATAAATGCCGCGAAGTCAGTGAGCTCTTATGATATCTGGCTTGTTGTCATGTCATACAATAATTGAAAAGTATGACTGACAATAGACAAAACAATTTCTGATGTGACTCTGTACCGTTTATAACTGTGAAGACAGCTGATAATCATATAGCGGCAGCCATTTTGGTACAGTGTACTGTAGGTTCTCGACATGAAATTAAAAAAAGGACAGTTTTAGTTTCTCGATTGAGTCACGATCCCAAAGAAAATTTTTATATGATTTTGATTCATGTTTGGCAGAACATCTGTTTTACGGAATAAGGTGAAAAGTCTGTTAATAGTTTGCACACACATACATCCGCGGCTGTTGATGTGAAATATGTAAATAAATTAGTGGTATCAAAGTAGACACGAGTTGTTATCACTTATGAACGCTTAACTTATTTTAGTAGTGTTTTACTTATTTCAAGCTGGTTAAAAATATAGACAATAATCTAAAATTAACAAAACATTTGCCGTCATATTTGTAGTAAAACGGCCAGAGCTATTTTTATACATTCGAGTGTTCTCTTTTGACAGTAGAAAAGAAGTCCAAAACATTTAGAAAAGAAGTCCAAAAAAATTAGAAGGCATGGGATACAGAGCTAAGTGCAGGTGTTTCAATCAATAAAGCTTTGTCTCCCGGGGGGAGGGGGGGGGGGGTACTCCAATATATTTGCTACACGGGGACGTGCCGCTGGCCAGGGTATGGTTTTTGGCCTTGCTGTCTTAAACAGGGTATACATTTCACCCGAAATTGTCTTAAACAGGCTCTACAATTTAGATAAAAGAGACCGATATAATTTTTTTGTGTGTCTTGGACAGGGTAATATTTTCATAACACCGTAGAAATACCGTTT